TTGGTAGTGGATCACGCAAATTTGTGAAAGTCGCAAACCAACAGGTGCTGTGAGGTGGCCAAAACATGTCGGTAGAGCAAGTGGATTTAATCTCCGCGCAGAGATTTGATTATTCATTATCACGTGACTACTCTGGCACATAGTGGTGGAATGTTTTTAAACAGCCCCACTACATGACCCTCTTGGAAACATGTCTTAAGACTTAGTAAGGCTGTCTTGGATTTTAAAAGATAAAATAATAATTACATTGCCTTTCCTTCAAGGTTGCATGAACAACAGAAGGATTTTTTTCGAGCTCATTAAAATTTTTAAAGGAATAACACCATCGTAATGTTAAACTAATTTAAAATTTAAAAATTAGTACTCAGCTATGCAACTATGAATCTGTCAATGCGCATATAAACATACTCCAATTAAACAGCCTTGCCAAAAGGATGACTTATGTAAAAATGTTTTATTACACTTTGCACAACAATTACATTTTTGTGCACAGCTTTTAATTAAAAATCTAATGAAGTATAGTAAACATGTTTCAACGTCTTTTTAACAATGGTTAAAATAGAAAAAAATCACTTCAGAAGTAAATTGTCAATCTATAATTAAAATTATCACTAAAAGTCAAGGCAACTCAAAGCTCCAAGTTCATATGGGCAGCTGTTCTTTCTGCTGGAAATCCACGTTCCCATGGAGAGGCCCAGTATCTACAAAAGTAACATCAAGTGGAACTCATAGGCCTGTGGTATGAAGCTGGTTACTTGAGTTCACTTCATGGCCATGGCTAACTCCCCTATCTCCAACCGTCACTGACAAGCGTGGTGAGGTATGGTCAGAGAACCCTGATGACTGATATGAGATGAGAAGGCCTTTATCCAGCAGGGGATTGAAAAGTACATGACCATTATTAAATACGTTACAAGAGAAATCCATTACCCTCTATAATTAAATTAATCCTTCCACACATGAAGCAAACCGTGAATGGAAGGCTATGTCCTTTAAGAAGTAATAATTCAAATAAACTTTTTTTTTAATTAAAGTTAACGAACAGTAATAAAACAATAACACTAGTATGTCCTTTGACGTACATAAATGAGTACAGTTCCTTGGAAAGGGATTCAAACACAGTTGCAAACACAATTATGTGATGCCAATTCTGTAGCCCCCGACGCCACCTTTCAGAAAGTGCATTTTGTGTGCTGCAGGCACGACATAATGAGCCATATAACTTGAGCAGAGTTATGAGCGGAGCATGAATAAGACAAAAAAATAAGTGGGCTCAAGAAAGCTGCAGTGCAATGTGGGGCAGTTATTCTCGCATCTTTTTGCATGTGCATTGTGTATATGACCGATGAGTTTCACGAAAGTACATTTTATGATTTGCTATTGCTTGATTTTGATGGATTGGAGCGTTGGGCATTTATTAATTCACTTTGCATTTCTGTAACGTGAACATGTGGTGAAAACTCGCTGAACTCATGAAGCCATATATTACAGAAAATGTTACAAACGTTTCACTCGCATGCAGGCAGTAGTTGGGAAAATAACATTAAGTCATATCCGTAGAGGTTAACTAATTAATTAGACACTGGTTCAATGTGCATTTATTTCATGGGGCATCTCACACAGATAACCCAAAGGAGCAATCGCTGAATTCCAGCTAGGGCCAGTGTTTGACTCCACTAAGTGCCGTAGGGCCAGTGATGGGCAGCTCACCTAATTAACGTTGAATTGTTAAGACCACGTATATGAGCAGTGCATTTCTCACGTTGCTGAAATCCCAACTAAGCCAGGGAAGCGTCCTGGTTGACCAAATAACAATGGAAAAAACAACACAAAGCAAACACTTGAGCGTTTACCGAAATTGATTTAAAGCTTTCGTGACTGCAGTAATTCATATTCTTAGTTCTTTCGGTAAAGTCACGTTGAAGGGAAACAATAAAATAATAAAATATATATAAAACAATAAAAATTCTCACGACGTTTCGACCATAACACAAACGGTCGTCTTCAGGAAAGAACTAAGAATATACGTTTACCGATTGTGAGACCATTTGTGCAGGCCCTGAAAGTACAACACAGCACTGTGGTAGCGCTACGTTTGAAATGACAGACGCTACGTTTATTCTGAAAAGTTACATTTCACAGGCTGGAGATGTCAGCATTGAGGGCGTGAGAGTAAGATTTCTGCTCGAGTGAATGATGCCACGTCTCAACGCTCGTGCCACTCAATTTGGTCAGGAAAAATACCAGCTGCTTTCAGTATGATCTTGCATAAATGTGCGTCTGAGGCTCTGACCAGCTACCTATTTCAATTGTGTAAAAGCTGTATTTTGTTCATCCCTGAGACAATTCTCCAATTTATATTCTAAAATCTGGTGGCATGCCATCAAAGTAAAAACTGACAACTGTGTATGACTTCCAACAGGGCTCCATTATACTGTAGCACATTGAAGGTTACGATTGAATGCTTGCCTCTGGAGGCTTCAAGTCTCAACTGACATTCAGTCTGGCAGGTGCTCGCTGTGACTAAAAAGCTGATTGGGAATACGAAGAGGAGCTCTCAGAAGCCACTATACATTTTTAATTCAGCTATGTGCAGGTACACTATTGGTCAACAATGAGTTTCCCTAACTCGTCAACAAAATTCTCTGTTCTGTGTTGCGCTGTTATTTCAATTAATTGCAAAACATGTTCAGACATAAACACCAATGTGCAGGAATGTTGCTGCCAAACTAACAGTCCAGTCTAGTGATGTAGCCGTTTATGAATGTTAATTTTCATATAGAGAGTTCCATGCATTGCCTACAATATATACACATTAATATTCTATAGCACATTAACTTGTACGTCACAGTGAACTATACTTGACGACACTCTTTCATATAGCCTATTCTGTCATTTTTATGTCATATATGTCAAGTTCAATTCTTTACTTTAATTGGCTTTGCAGTATGTTAATTATATTTTTGTTAAATTAAAAAGTAAGCCGTTAATTTCAGATGTCGGTTTATGTTAACATGTCTTAATTTTATGTTGTGCTTTGCACACCCATAAACATCTCTGTGATCGTTTTGACTCAACACATATGCCTGATTAGTGATGATGTTTTCCAGCTAAAATATATGACACCTATCCAGATGCATAAGTGATAGCAGTTATAAAGTAAATATTGAAAACATTATTCTTTAATTTTCATATCGTTGGAGAAATGTTAACTACCTTGCCTGGTATACAGGAGGTCGTGGGTTTGATCCCAATACTAATGCCTGTATATTTGTAGTTTGCAGGCTCTCCCTATGGTTACATGGATTTTTCCCCAGTTTTTCCCTCCACATTAAGAAACATGCGTTTAGAGTATTTGGCTGCTATACATTTCCACGAGATTATCCACTTCAATGAGCTATCATATGTGGCGAAGTCACTTCTAAAAAAGAGCTATATAGCTCAGTGGGCTTTATCCAGTAAAATACAAAAACATCGTTTAGTTTACGTAGCATTTCATCATCAGAAACATTGGTTCATAAACATGAACACTCATGAATGTGCCTCGGAGAGATGCACATTCAAAATTGCACCGAGAAACAGAAAGAGAAACGAAAATGAAATCAGAGAGGAAAACAAATCAGAGATATTATATTGACTGTGAGTGAATTGGCTTGGGCAGGACAGTTCTCGACAAGGGATGGACAAGACTAATGACAGGGTGAAAGTCAAAGGAGGGAGCAAATCCGTGCGGTTGGCCAACGAGGAGATGGACAAATGAGATAATATAATATGTCGGAGCTAAATAGATCATTGTCTTGTGTCACCATGAGGGATGAAGGCTCGGGGAGGCCTTTATCCAGCAGTGGATAGGTCATGGTTGACGATGAGGGTGATGACCAATTCAGAACAATATTTAGGTAATTGTATGCTTGCTATGTTGCTATATATATTGAGATCTCTAAATCTAAAATGCATGAGCATTGCACTCATCTTGTGTTTATTGCATGATTGGCCACCCATTGCTTATTTATAAAACTTTAACATTTTCATAATTGTAATGGAAGTTGAAGTGGTATGTTAAAATGCATTTAACAAATGAAAAAAAACATTCAGTACACACATTTGTGTCAATTTGTGCCAATTATTGCCACAACATTACAGCCCAGACCCAGTCATTGAAATTTGAAAAATGCATTTAAAGAATGCTGGCATAAATTAACAATTGGAATAGAAGCATACAGCTTCGGATAATTGTGGAGAGAGTGTGTCTTGTGCATATTTCTGTGCTCAAGATTATTATCATTATTATTTTCACTGCCTTTGCCATTACACATTCCAAATAATTAATGAATATAGTCTGATCTTGAAAATAACTCTGACGACAAAACATTGAAATAGTTTCCACAATGTTCTACCGTCAACATAAATCTGACACAGACAACACATACCCACACGTAAACCGCACGACCGTGAGTTATTGTGAACCTGTGTGGCAATAGGGTCGCATATTGTGAACTCGGTACTAAATCAGCAACATACATTTTTTTATTTAATTGGGAAAAAATGACAGAGTGCAATAAAAAGTCCTGTAGTTTGATTCTTGTCTCAGAAATTGACTTGTCATCTGATTTTGCGAAGAAAAAATACTATTGTCTAAAACTCCATGCGCAGAAAAGTATAATTTAGTGAATGTCGTCTGACCATAAAATACTGCAATGCAATCTCTGCAGCCTCATTCCTGTCTCAGAGTCTGCCTTTTTTAAACAGATTGTAGGAGCAATAAAATAAAAATCCGCCACTACATTATTTATGGCAAAATCATGTTTTTTTTTTTTCTCTGCACAATCTAATTGATGAGCAAAATCAAAACGTTCCATCGCCAGGACAGGGAATCACCCCCTCGATCGTTACAACCCTCATTAATGTTTTCATGGGGCTTTCACTTTTCCCTGCCATGTCCCCGTCACGCAGAAATGGCCACGCCAACGACGAACGTCAATCCGATCGGCCTCACTCACCGTCGTAGCAAAATCCGTGGTTGCACGGCGCGGACGCACAGTCGTCAGTGTTGGTCTCGCAGTAGAGCCCAGCGAATCCCGCGGGGCAGCTGCAACTGGAGCCCATCGGGTACACAGCGAGGTCAACTTCTTGGCGACACACCGCCGCATTCTCGCACGGGCTGAAGCCCTCGCATGGCACCAGCTCACAGTCAGGTCCTTGACGCAAGAAACACCGAGCGGCAACAACAAAAACAACAAAAAGGTAACAGTTTATTCGTGCGGTACTGTTGCGCACAAATGACAAAAGTGTTCTATGTTACTTAAACCTGCTGGGCAAGCTCTTGCGGTTGAGGCAAGGGCGTGATTAACATTCGTACGAAAGCTAATTGAAATCCCGGCTCAGGGTTTCAACTCAGCTGTCCATCCCTCCTAGGGTCAATAAAGCAGGGATCACTTTGTCGGAAGTCAGCCGTGGTTGTCCTGTGGAGTCAGGGGCGCAACTATGGGGGGTGGGGGGGGGTATGTGACAGCGTTATGTGAAGCATCGGGCCCAGTGAGCCGCAAGGGGGGCCACGAATAACCAGATACACAAGTTAAATTTTTTAAAATATATATTTTAATGTTTTCCAACAGTTCACCATAAATGTCAAGAAACATTGTTACAAATGAAAAAAAAAATCCGAATCAAATACACAAGTGTAAAATTTAGTAGCCCTACTGCTGGTGTTTGTCACTGGACACCACCAGGCTTGTCTGCAAACTGACATGCATATGAAAGCAAGACGATAACTCAATTATCTTCCTCTAAACTCAATACACGGTGCAACTACAATAATATATATAGTTATAGCCTACATATAATCTTGATTTGAAGCTTTTGCCTGATGACGACCGCTTGTTTGTTGTGATCGAAACGTCGTGATTTGTTTTATTTCATTTCTAACTATGTGACTTTATTTCTCACTACGTAAAAGTGAGTCGGTCGAAAGGAGGGGGGGGGGGGGGGGGTGCCCATAGTCGTATCTTGCATACCCACCCCGTTGCGCCCCTGTGTGGAGTGACTCCACCCCCACTACGCAATGGGGCATTCCCCCCACTGGCTCAGTGCTATAAACAGAGACGAACACCACCACTCCCGTACTCATTGGAGCAGCAAAACAAACTTCAGCGATGCTCTTCGTACAGAGTGTTGAGCCAAATGCTGTTGGCCAGCGCCCACCAAGGCTGACCCGGCTGCCTGAACTCCTCTCGTGCCGACGTTGGCTGAACAATAGCAAGAAATAATTTTGGAATTTTCTTCTTTGGTTTTTCGCCATATAGCATTGTGATATATAACGAGTTATTGTTGGTAGCTTAGCTGATTGGAGAATATAGAGTTTATTGATAACATTAAGGTAATTTATATTTTAGTTTTTTAATGGTTCACTATATAGTATTCATTATACATTGTATTGTATACCCAGTTACTGTGAATAGCTCAGATGTGTAGACCTTGACTTTAACATAGCTATTTCTGTGACCAGATACAAGCTAATCACTCAGCTATTTCAATGCTAAATTCTATGCTAATTCCTTTGTCAAGGGGTGCGTCTGCGGATGTGTATGCTTTAACTTAGTTATTTCAATGCTAAATTCTATGCTAATTCCTTTGTCAAGGGGTGCCTCTGTGGATGTGTATGCTTTAACTTTTAACATAGCTATTTCTGTGACCAGTCACAAGCTAATCATTCAGCCATTTCAATGCTAAATTATATGCTAATTCCTTTGTCAAGGCGCTTTGTTTCTTCTGACACAGCTTAAAGGTCGTGATCTGAACGTGGCTTTTTTCACTCCAGCGCTGTCCTACCAGACAGTTTCGTCCCTTCACCTGATGAAGGCCGCTTGTGTTGTGGCCGAAACGTCGTGAGAATATTATTGTGTTATTTTATTTTATCAATTTATTATTTTATTCTCATTCTACGTGACTTTACCGAAAGAACCAAAGAAGATGAATCCTTGCAGTCACGAAAGCTTTGAATCGAAATTTTAGAATTATTTTACCTGCAGTTGCTCTTGGTAATGCGAACAGTCTGGAACTGAAACAAGGCCATTGGGATTGCAAAGCGCTACCAACACTCCCCAGTCCCCACATATACATTATCTCACACACACAAGGACTTATAATTTATTTAATCCTACATAGTAAATCACTCCTACATAGTAAATCACAACAGCATGTCCATTTGTTGTGGCTATATAAGACAGACAACAAGAAAGGTCAAACTTTCGGGAGGATGTCATCATTTGAGTGTGCATCTTCACTCTCATGCCAACTTTGAAAGTAGAGTATTGCCTTTTCTAGTGTGTAATATGTGATCTAGTAATATGGTCCAGATGTTTTGATTCAAGAGATTACAGTTACATAATTTCACGACCATGTAAGAGGATGCATATGTTGTAAAATGACAAAAATGATAATAAATCTACAAATTACCCTCCCAAGTTGTAATTCTAATCCTAAAAGTTGCGTACCCTATTGAGCTGCTGTATTATCGACATTGTTTGAAGTAGGAGAGAGGACACAACTCTGCATTGTAATGCTCAGTATCCAATCGTAACAAAAACAAATCTTACTCGACCAATTACAACTGGCACATGCGCAAAAATCAAGCCAAGGTTTATGCTCAGCATGCACAGAAATGCACGTTACCCATTTCCACACCTAGGCGTGTCACAGGGTGTTCTATTAACAGCATAGAATAAGGCTCTGAGAGAATTATCTATGCATTCTCCATCTCACGATGTGATGCCGATATGAAACATCGGGGTACAAGACCTCACTAACCGTGGACAAACAATTGCAATCAATTTAACACGTAGGCTTTCGCGACCATTATTATTCATAATAAAGGTTTTTGGGTTAGATCGCGTTATTTATAAATGTGTCGTAACCCTCCACCACCCGACACGGCCAAACAGTAAAAAATATGTCACGTTTACAAAGGACAAATAGTTCACTACTTTAGCCCACCGGTGTGTTGAAGCGTGAATCAACATCATTTAAAATGTGAGTACGACGTTTCGCTGGTAATTACATCCAGCATCATCGGGCAATTCGCCAGAATGGTAAAGCCCTCACTTAAATAGAGCAGCATGGTGACGTCATCATGAGTTAAATGATGCCATCACCCTGCTGCTCTATTTAAGACCGAGAGCAAGTGAGGGCTTTACCATTCTGGCGAATTGCCCGATAATGCTGGATGTAATTACCAGCGAAACGTCGTACTCAAATTTTAAATTATGTTGATTCACTCTTCAACACACCGGTGGGGCTAAAGTAGTGAACTATTTGTCCTTTGTAAACGTGACATATTTTTTTCTCTTTGGCCGTGTCGGGTGGTGGAGGGTTACGACACATTTATAAATAACTCGATCTAACCCAAAAACCTTAATTATGAATTGCAATCAAATAAACGCACACTCAATGATGTATCTTTTCAAGGCCCTGCTGGAGTGAGCATTGAGCCATGCAGTGAGAGGGGTACCTTTAAAAGGGGCGAGGCACTGGCAGTAGTAGCCTCCTATTAAATCGAGACAGGTAGCACCATGCAGACAAGGTGAGGAGCCACATTCATCGATGTCCATCTCGCAGTGAGGGCCTGTCAGGGACAGAGAGACACAGCCGCCAACAGCAATAGCAACAGCTCCCTCTCGCAGGCTCCCGTACGTCTGTAACGATGTTCTACGCGATGCATCCGTCAGGAAAAAACAAGGCACAACAAGTAATTGCCTATCGGTCAGCACTGCTGTATACGTGTTGCAAAAACGAATTGTTTGAATTGTAAAATTGCAATTAACGAGTTACGCGCGTGATGCGTTTATAACTTTTACATTGCCGACCCTAAAATGTGAAGATTATTCACCCGCAAAAGCTTTGGCTTGCTCTCGAGACTCATGAGCAGGGGTGTTCGGCATTGGATGTTTGGCCATTTCTTATTTAAATATGGAAAGTAAGTGGAGTGCCTGGATGAATCCACACAGATGCGGGGATAATACTAAAGCGTCCACAGATTGCTCGAGTCAACAACGCAGGTTTAGCATTAGCGTCTGCATTCAAATTTCCTAGGCCAATCAAGCGGTGAGGATTTCAGCATCACGTTGGTTTTGCAGGTGATCAGAATTATACAAATTAAAGGACACAATGGGAGAGGCAAGGGAGAAGGAAAGCATGTGGAGGCAAATGGAGATCTGTTGCTCACAATATCAGTTACACTTGCCTAAATTAGGCTATTGTTATCCAATTACAGACATCTTGGAAATGCAATTCGTTTGGAGAAATAACAATGCACGACATAGAATGAGGCAAAGATCCCCTGTTCAGGGGTGTGATGAAAAACAAGCATGTGGCAACCAAATGAAAAGCAGATCATTTATAGGTGCAAGACGCGTTGCTATATTGTCACAAAGGAAACATGTAGTGTAAAATGTTACAAAGGGCCATGATTGCAAAGGATTACACGGCCATGATTAAGGATACTCTAGTGATGCTGAAGCAGACGTGGCAGACACATGGCAGGGATTAAACTAAAACTAAACAAAACTCTTATTATATTACCAGATAAGGCCCACTGAGCTACGTAGATCCTTTTCAGAAGCGACCTGCCCACAAATGATAGCTCAACGAAGTGGCTTATCAGGTGGAAATGTATAGCAGCCAAATACGCTAAACGCATGTTCATTCTAAATGTGGAGGGTAAAACCAGTGGACCCTGAGAAAAATCCACGCAACTACGGAGAGAACATTCAAACTCCAAATATACAGCCGTCATGGTGGGGATCGAACCCACGACCTTTCGCATACGAGGCACGGGAGATAACACCTCGACACCATTGATTATACAACACAGTCAGCCCTTGTGCACCATCTTGAAATATGCAAGACTGCTTTTGGGTTCTTTGTGTGAAAGAGTATGTTTTATCACAGTCTAGCCAGTGTGGCCAACATGTTCCTTTAAACAAAAACTCTATGTCTGGAAGGACACGAGCAGTTTGTAGAGGTGAGTGAATGAATGAAACTAAGACTACATGTGTTTGTGGATGAACATTGCACAAGGAAGTATATGGTTTGTGGATTAATGAAATTTGCATGCTTACCTTCAACATGGGAGGTCACCACAATCAGTCCAAAATAATCTGATGTTCCAATGCAATATCCAAATTATATTAAAATTATGTTGTTGAAATGAAAATGCTATTTTAGGCATCTGTGAATGATGACAGTGGTAACAAAAAACTTAAAACTCTTTCTCAGTGGCTACTCTGGTATGGTCAGGTTACAATTTAATGAGCATTAAGGGAGGCAATCGTCTCCATTGGTGAACCGCAGCCCAAGGTCAAAATTGGCGGTGGAAAATTCCTCATCCAATATGCAAAGCATTTGTTGGCTTCCTACAAAATGGCCCTCATTGAACAACCACAGAGGGATGATGACTGATTTGATCTACAACTGGAAATGTATATGTGAGTCGAGTGCTCTATCCCAGTTGAACACGTAGTAGGCTTTCGTGACCAATTTTATCCATAATACAGGTGTATGGGTTAGATCGTGTAAATATATAAAAGTGTCATTAAATCCGCCACCACAGCCAATTAATAAGGTTTGCCATGTAAACAGAACGTGGCCAATTCGTTACTGTACAGCACACCGGTGTGTTAGAGAGCCAAGCCACAACATTTACAATCTGAATGCGACGTTTCGCCAGTAATTACAACTAGCTTCATCAGGCGACAGCCAGTTTGGCTCTCCAACACACAACCGGTGTGAGCTGTACTAGTAACGAATTGGCCACGTTCTGTTTACATGACAAACCTACTAATTGGCTGTGTCGGGTGGTGGCGGGTTTAACGACACATTTATATATTTACGCGATCTAACCCAAAAAAACCTGTATTATGCTCTAACCCAGACCATCGAGACTAGTACACTGCATCTGGTATACTGTATGGTACATCTTAAGTCTGATGCCTCATGGTAAATAATGCCTCGAATTGAACATCAACACAGGTGAGCTCTACCACAGAGTCACGTCATTCTTCCTCTGCATGGGATGGTTGGTAATAGATGGTCCATTGCTGCCTATTAATGTGAAAGGTTCATACCGATAGGAAACAATATGAGATTGTGACTCAGAGGTCTGAGCGCTGAGCCAGCACTGCTAAGGTCCTGGGAACACGTCTGGGTTGCAGCTGCCCATGGCCTAACCAGGAGCTTAAGTTGAGCAAGTCGTTAATCTCAATTTTCTCAACCCTGGTTATCAATGGTTGCACGAAAATACATGTTATTATTATTATTATTTGTATTATTATTAAATGTGGCTTTGCGAATCATTTATCATCATTTTTATCTCTGGGGAATTGAAAACGTATCTTTTCGATTTAAGGCTTTCGTGACTGCAGGGATTCATCTTCTTGGTTCTTTCGGTAAAGTCACGTAGAATGGAAATAAAATAATAAAACATAATAAAATAAAATTATCACGACGATCGGCCACAACACAAGTAGCCTTCGCTGCTAAGATTCGCAGCGTCTTTTAAGCTAGGTGGGAGGAGCAGAACGCCTTGACAAAGGAGTTTACATATCAACAGGGGAATTTAGCATTGAAATAGCTGTGTTAAAGTGTTGGATTAGCAGGGTGTTAAAGTCAGAAATTAGCATGTAACTGGGAGATTAGCATGATGTTAATATGAGGGATTAGCATGTAACTGATCACGAAATAGCTATGTTAAAGTCACAGAGGCATTTAGTATATTGATGCTAAAGGACTGCAACTACCAAACTATCAAACAATAAACCGATGTGAAAAAAAACTAAGTATAAACTACATCAATATAATAAATGTACTCAATATATTCTTCAATAAGTTGAGCTATTAACATAAAGTAACTGGGTATACAATACACTATATAATGAATACCATATAGTAAACTGATGAAAAACTAAAATATAAACTACATCAATGTTATCAATAAACTCAATATACTCTCCAATCAGCTGAGCTACTAACAATACGTCGTTATACATTAAAATTCTATGTCGAAAAAAAGGGTGGCGTTTTTTTCTTTTCAACGTTAGCACCACGGAAAGCGACGAGCCTCGTTCAGACGGACGAGTCCATCTATGCTCGGAACGGAGGAGGGGGGAGAAACTGCCACGATGCGCTGCTCTGTCCTGTGTTGCGTTACAACTATGTTATAAACTAGACTACTATACATTGCAATGTTATACCTTCCAATCTAAACTACATTGTATAATAGACAAACCCACCCTTGAGTTATACAATGCGTTACTATACACTACCCTATACTTGAGACTGTAAAATATTAGACTTGTAATATTACACTATGTATTATTCTACCAATCCTACTGTATACCACACTGCTGTATATTCACTATACAATTACCATACTATATATTGCCTTATGAATTATATTAAACATTACACTGTTATACTATTTATTATACGACATGCTATGAACCATACCATTGACCGTCGTGTGAAAGGTATTAAGAGGCAGTGCCAGCGAATGGACTGCGGTCTGAAAGTCACCGTAAAATGGAATCAATTAAGAACCGAAATGGTTTATAACGTCTTTCCAATGGTTACTAAGCCAGAATCCATCTTCTCGGTTGAAATTGTCTCTGTGTTTGTATATGTGGATGGCCTCATGAATGAATCTCTCATGGTAGCCGGATGGCTTGCAGAGAACCTCCTTCTTGGAGAAGTCAATGTCGCCGGTTGTAGCCAACGTTTGCATGGAGAAATTTGAAACTGACGCCATCCAGACTGCCACTCAACGCTTGGCCTTATGGAAGAGGTACGTGGATGACACTTTTGTCATCTGGCCACATGGCCGGCCTGCTCTAGACCAATTCCTCGACCACATCAATTCCATACACCCAGCCATCAGATTTACCATGGAAGTCGAAAAAGATGGCAAGCTACCCTTTTTGGATGTCCTAATTAAAAGGAGACCTGATAGTTCAATGTAGAAAAAAGTTTAGTTGGAGACATATCAATATAATGCATGTTAGAGCTTACATTGAGCTGTGTATACGATATTATACAATGTAGTTTAGATTGGAAGGTATAACATTGTAATGTATAGTAGTCTAGTTTGTAATATAGTTGTAACGCAACACAGGACAGAGCAGCGCATCGTGGCTGTTTCTCCCCCCTCCTCCGTTACGAGCATAGATGGACTCGTCCGTCTGAACAAAGCTCGTCGCTTTCCGTGGTGCTAACGTTGAAAAGAAAAAAACGCCACCCTTTTTTTCGACATAGAATTTTAATGTGTAACGACGTATTGTTAGTAGCTCAGCTGATTGGAGAGTATATTGGTTTATTGATAACATTGATGTAGTTTATATTTTAGTTTTTTATCAGTTTACTATATGGTATTCATTATATAGTTTAGTGTATACCCAGTTATTTTATGTTAATAGCTCAACTTATTGAAGAATATATTGAGTACATTTATTATATTGCTGTAGTTTATACTTAGTTTTTTCACATCGGTTTATTGTATGATAGTTGGGTAGTTGCAGTCCTTTAGCGTCCATATACTAAATGCCTCTGTTGATATGTTTGACTTTAACATAGCTATTTCCGTGACCAGTTACATGCTAATCCCTCACATTAACTTCATGCTAATCTCCCAGCTACATGCTAATTTCTGACTTTAACACCCTGCTAATCCAATACTTTAACACAGCTATTTCAATGCTAAATTCTCCCGTTGATATGTAAACTCCATTGTCAAGGCACTCTGCTCCTCCCACCTAGCTTAAAAAACGCTGCGAAGCTTAGCAGCGTTCAGTGAAGCGCTGTCGTCCCGACAGTTCTGTTCCTTCACCTGAAGAAGGCTACTTGTGTTGTGGCTGAAACGTCGTGAGAATTTATTTTATTATTTTATTTCCATTCTACGTGACTTTACCAAAAGAACCAAGAAAACGTATCTTTTTTTGTTGTTGGTTAAGTCGAAAAACCTCAGAGCAAAGTTTGTAGGAAAGTGCCTGTCCATTTGTACAAAGGATAAAGAAGGCCAATTGAGGGATTTATTTGGGAGAATTCCTGTGACAAAGCACTTCGTGCAGGAGTTCTCTGACACATGGGTTGTGCATTTCCCCGCGAGACTTCTGAATTGATTTCTTGTCTCAGGGCATCGATGCCGATAGCACAAATTGGAATTAATGTTGATGAAAAGACCAACAATAACAAAATCATATTTTGGAAAGGACCATTGCAATGCCTTGTGAGGGTTAGACCAATTACTTCGTGCTCAACCAGCTCATAGAGAATAATTGATAATGTGTTGGATTATTGCCATATACTCCACCTGGATTGTATCTTGTTTAAAGATTATATTGCAATGTTCCACCGCAAAATGTTACCGTGACATCTCATAATATTAGGGATTTTGGCATTATCTTTTGCATTGCAATCATTGTACTGTGCTTTGTTTTGCTCTGCCTGCTTTTGCATTTTCATTTTGTAGCCCAGGTGTACCGTGAAAAATAGACTTCGAGTATCAATGTACTCTTGCCTGCTTAAAAGATGGTCACTATAAATGTACAATCTGAAGTCAAAATCGGAAAGTCAAAGTACTGTGGCCACATACGAAGACAGGGAGAAAGGGAAGGACATTTGATAATGAATGACGACGACGATGATGATGATGATGATAAATTAAGGTTTGATAAGTTATAGTCGATTGATGGATGATGAGATGATCGTAATGAACTTCGACTCACCAGTCAAGCCAGGCGGGCAGAGGCAGATGTACCCATCGACAAGATCAATGCAGCTTCCATCGTGGTGGCACGGGGATGACGAACACTCATTCACCTCTTGCTCACAAAGGCCACCTGCAAAGAGCGGCCAGGATTGCTTCCAATCAGGCCACAACTTGGTCACACGACATCACATGTCCGACGTATTAAACGGCCCCCCACACCCGGTGCAATATATGTGTGCACGGCGGTGTAACTTGTCACCTTCTGTAGACGTTAACTCATCCGACGTTTTCACTTGCAGCAATGTATTTGTGATCTCGCATACGTTAACTTTAACTTCTCAGTGAGAATGTTATTGTTTTTATATATATATATATACATTTTTATTATTTTATTGTTTCCCTTCTACGTGACTTTACCGAAAGAACCAAGAATATGAATCCCCGCAGTCACGACGGCTTTAAATCAAAATTCAAGATGCCAAGTATAAATTAAAGTGCATTAACGAGTGCGCCCCAGCTCCCCTACATAAAATGAGATCCGTCTAAATGGCAACCTTAAACCAAAACTAAACTCCGCAGCCTAATGTGGAAACGGTAAACTTAAAGGTCAAAAATTGCACGAAATACTATTTTGGTGCCGTGTAAAGAGCAGTAATGAGCAACTCACCCTGAAACCCGGGCAAACACTCACAGCTGAAGCCATTACGTAGATTGCTGCAGGAGGCTCCATTCCAACAGGGAGAGCTCAGACACTCGTCAGCATCACTGTCACAGCGAGCACCTGCCAAGGAGAAAGATGGCTCAAGGCGGCAGCCTATGGAGCACTGCATTCAAGCATAATCTTCAATGTTCGCAAATGGATTCTGCTCGGAAGCCCAACGCTGATATCAGTGTTTACCATGAGGCTACAACACCGGCATTTAGAATTTAAATTAGAAATACTCCGGTGAATATCTCAACTTTGTGATGGAACACAGCTGGACATATATATATAGATATACGTCTGTTGTGACATTGATTGGCATTTTTTACGAAACAAAATTTTGGGAATTTAAGCAGCTGAGCAAGAGAATAGCAACTTCATGTTATTTGGTAGACTTAATTTATAATAAAACGCAAAACCTCAACTTTTGAACATTTTTAGAAATTGCGAAGCAGCTTTTGATATTACGAACGAATTGTTACATTATGGTGCTTGTTAAAATGCACGCGTAAAGTTAAGTGGTAATATATAATGGAAATGTGCACTTAATATTTTAAAAGGCATGTGGAAGGTAAAAAGTGAAACATAAGGTTGGAACAATTTACCTCTCTCTCCAGGCACTTTATGAATTGTTGCATTCAGGGTTACAATTAAATTCTCAACTACATTATTTTGAATTAACGCTGTGTTGAATGGTGGCACTTCTAATGGCCAGAGGTGCTATGGTGGCAGCAATCATTTACATCGAAAATATACAAACTAATAAACATTAATTACATACGTGCAATGTGATGTATGTAGTACGAGTTTAAGAATGTGTATTAATGGGTGTCTTCATGCATTACGATGAAATGTTTTAACATTTTAAAAACAACTTTCAAGACCCATAATTATTAGGTCGTGCTTTGAATATCTAAAAATGTATAATTGAACCGCATTCCCAATAAAGATCTCCTAGAAACGCATTCTTTGCCGTTAGCAACTTAATACCAACTTCAGTAAGTCTGACATCTCTACTCGGCTGCCCTTTACTTGGATATTAGACCTGCCAGCTAAATCTGTCTCCAATATTGTGGTGTTGACACGTGATGAAGTGTCCTCCGGCCTGGCATGCGTTTATCTATGGCACACTTAAATGAGGAAAGATCAACCGAGTCAACATGTTGATGGATGCGGTGCCTATGAAAACGCTATACTTGGTTTCACCTTAAACTGTTGGCTACTGGCAAAGGAGTGGCCAGCCAGCTGAGCTTATCCGGCATTGTTAGCTGTTTATACTATGCCAGGGAAGATGTAATACTACAGTGTATTAAAGAATAAACACACAGCCCATTATCCAAAAAGATGAGGCGATGCTCATAACTGCATGTCCCCGGAATCATTTATTAACTTGACAATCTGCCACCTTACTCGTTGCAAATACAGTTACAAGGAAGCGGTCCGTGGAATATTTTGTGAGCAAAACAATAACGTAGAGCCACATGCCGTCAAGTTGCTTTGAGGGCACACTTGAATCGTACAGTGAAGGGCAAACCACTGACACTGAGAGCAGTGTTGTGGCGTTCCATGTCCAATGTGTGATCACAGATATGAGAGCATCACCACGAGTTAGTGATCACAGATATGACAGCAGCAGCACGAGTTAGTGATCACAGATATGACATCAGCACCACGAGTTAGTGATCACAGATATGAGAGCATCACCACGAGTTAGTGATCACAGATATGACAGCAGCAGCACGAGTTAGTGATCACAGATATGACATCAGCACCACGAGTTAGTGATCACAGATATGAGAGCATCACCACGAGTTAGTGATCACAGATATGACAGCAGCAGCACGAGTTAGTGATCACAGATATGACATCAGCACCACGAGTTAGTGATCACAGATATGAGAGCATCACCACGAATTAGTGATCACAGATATGACAGCAGCAGCACGAGTTAGTGATCACAGATATGACATCAGCACCACGAGTTAGTGATCACAGATATGAGAGCATCACCACGAGTTAGTGATCACAGATATGAGAGCATCACCACGAGTTAGTGATCACAGATATGACATCAGCACCACGAGTTAGTGATCACAGATATGAGATCAGCACCACGAGTTAGTGATCACAAATATGAGAGCAGCACCACGAGTTAGTGATCACAGATATGACATCAGCACCACAAGTTAGTGATGACAGATATGACATCAGCAGCACGAGTAAGTGATCACAGATATGACATCAGCACCACGAGTTAGTGATCACAGATATGACAGCAGCAGCACGAGTTAGTGATCACAGATATGACAGCAGCACCACGAGTTAGTGATCACAGATATGACATCAGCAGCACGAGTTAGTGATCACAGATATGACAGCAGCACCACGAGTTAGTGATCACAGATATGACATCAGCACCACGAGTTAGTGATCACAGATATGACAGCAGCACCACGAGTTAGTGATCACAGATATGACATCAGCATCACAAGTTAGTGATCACAGATATGACATCAGCATCACAAGTTAGTGATCACATATATGACATCAGCATCACAAGTTAGTGATCACAGATATGACATCAGCATCACAAGTTAGTGATCACATATATGACATCAGCATCACAAGTTAGTGATCACAGATATGACATCAGCATCACAAGTTAGTGATCACAGATATGACATCAGCACCACGAGTTAGTGATCACAGATATGACATCAGCATCACAAGTTAGTGATCACAGATATGACATCAGCACCCGAGTTAGTGATCACAGATATGACAACAGCACCACGAATTAGTGCAAAGGCAATCCAACTAAGCATTTCAAGATTAACTGTCGTTCCACGAATGTAGTGCTACCTTCAAAAACTCTATAATTAAATGTTACTAGAATTGATCTCAGAGAGCTAACTCTAAAATTGAGGTTAGGTAATTATTGAACACTCATTTCTTTAGAACTGATTTTTGTGTTTAGTTTGTTGTCTTTCCCCCGCTCCTCCGATTAGCATGGTCAGCTACACACGTTGCAAACACAGTTCAAGATACATGAAGCATACATATTTTACGGGACAAGGGTTTGCTGGATAACCGTCGTCCGCCAACAGAAAGCTGTGTGTGTGTCCATTCGAACCCCCCCAACCCCCGTTCATTGTCGATGTTCTTAAGATCGTCAGTGTAGAGTGCTATCTCAAAGAATAAAGTCAATAACCCTGCACCCCCCCCCCCCCCCTTTCTCTCTCTGCCCTAAAGAAGCTATTATGTTTTGATTTAAAGCTTTCGTGACTGCAGTAATTCATATTCTTAGTTCTTTCGGTAAAGTCACGTTGAAGGGAAACAATAAAGAACTAAGAATTAGAATAAGCTATTATGTGTCGAGTTGCAAGCCTGTTCATTTGTAAACATTCACCGCACTTGGCATGATGGGCAGCTTATATTTTTACATTCAAGGGGAGTGTTAATAAAACCTGTGGGGAGCGCCTTTAGATTTGTGTCATCAATCTGGTCTGTGAATGAACTTGAGCCAAGCTATCAACCTCAGTTCAGAACAGGGTTTTTTTCACGATTCCTCTAATTTAGAATGTATTATGCACGTATATATATTAAACAATGTATAGCCCGATTGTAATAAATTGCTGGCTTACGACACCATATCCACCATATAGGATTTGTTTGACCATACTTCACCACAATAGTGAGTGCAGGATGGTACAGGACGTGCCCAGGACCAATTCACATATCACTCACCACTGATGTTAAACATGGCCAGGAATCAAACTCAGGTTTGCTGAGCTCATAGCGCAGCATGCTAGACAAGTGTGCCACTCTTCCCCATATTTTCACATATATAAATTCTGCCTTATGGTTAGGTCTTTGGAATTACTTTCTCAGACTCCTGAAAATGCTCCTTTCCTACGAAACCAAATGTTTTTGTTGATTAATGGGACTGTGTCTTGACGCTCCGTGGCTAATCTCCTGCGACCATGTGTTTCTGCATTATTGCCACGAATTGTTACCTGCTCTGCAGCTGGGAAATCTCAATTCTAGCCACAAATGCAAAACCACGTGCATCACAAACGTTCAAAAGTCCTAAGCAACAATGGCAATGGGGGTGGGGGGAAATACAGTTTTGTGTCACATTGGAGGAGACAGCTCACCAATGAATCCAGGAGCACAAAAGCACCGGTAGCCACCGACGGAATTGATGCAGAGGCTGAGAGGTCCACAGGGGTCAGAGGCGCACTCATTGATGTCCAATTCACAGCGACGACCCATCAAACCTGCAAAGGACGCGTTCAGGCCAGAGTGTTTAATGGTGCTTATAAATATACGGCCCTCCTTGCTGATCCGCTACCATGAGCGGGGAATTACAAATCACCAAGGGTCTAAAGCTTTATATATAAATATATAATTCATACCTATGCTGGCATACTGCTGGAAGATAATATTTGGCTTTGTGATAATGCATTGATTATAGTATTTAATTAATGAACCACTTCTTACAGAACCCACCAAGTGATATACATCATATAAATATGCATAAAATATCCATACTCTTATGTGAAAACTACCTAAAAGGTAAGATAAGAGAAATTTGTCTTGACCAGAGTGTTGACATGTAATGCCTAAACAATGTTTTCCAGCCCTATGGTTCACTGAGAAGTTGTTATATTTAATGTGTTGTCTGTAGGGTGGATGGAAGTGACGTTTAGTAGTTCGTTGAGAAGAAAACACATACAGAGAAACCCACACTACCTCCCATGGACAACATGAGTTTATCTTGATGTTCGCCCATACAAGTATTGATCAGGACAAGCTTTGCGTAGGTTACAATCATTCAAATGAGACGATATTTCATGGTGACACCGAGTCAGCTCTGCTGGGGTCCTCGAGTTGACTTTGGGAACCCACTCATGGTGGTCTCTGCCTGGTCACAAACCCTCTCATTATATAGTAGGACCCCTCTTAACCACCAACCCTGTTCACAACTAATCGTATAGTAGTGTGGTGTATAGTAGTGTAGTGTATAGTCGTGTAGTGTATAGTGTAGTATAAAGTATTGTAGTGCATAATAGTGTAGCCTGTAGTAGTGTATAGTAGTGTAGTGTATGGTGTAGTGTATAGTAGTGTAGTGCCTCCATAGAAGGACTAAACTATGTACTTATATATACGAAATAGTGGTTTGCCTTTTGATTCAACAAAAACATTATCTATATAACCCTTTTTCTGATTTTTAAAGTGTTACATGAACAGGAGAGGTAACATATTATCATGTAAAGCAACCATAAACACATGAAAAGACCTAGGTTTACAATTTATGAGTACAATTCTACTATCTACACAATATACATAGACGTAAAATGTAAAAACCTTAATATCTTGGAAACAGTATTGTAATATTTGAATTTAGCACGTCAAAATCCATGATAAACAGCACATTTAATCTCTGTAGCAGATTACATCTAAAAAATTGTAGACCAGTGATATTCTTTGAAAAAGTTTGCGGCATTTTTCGAAAAAAAAAAACCAACCCAGTAGTTAATGATGATGTCATCTAGTCATATAAAGTACTGAGTCTGACATCTTCTTGGCTTGTCTCTTGTATTCATTAAATGAAGCATCTCTTGTCATTGTCCAGCAATAGTCTGCAAGCATTGGTGGGCTCCATTTGCCCTGATAGCGTTTCTCCATTGCTGCAGTGTCCTGGTGAAATCGCTCGCCATGCTCATCGCTCACTGCTCCGCAGTTCGGATGAGAGTGTAAAAAATGTATCTATAGTGACATGTCGCAACCAAGGCTTTTGTATGTCTTGTGGAGGTTTTCCACCAACTCCCCTGTAGTTTGTCTGCCTTGTTGTTTCCGAGAAAATGTGTTGCCACTAACGGGAAGGCGTTCCATGCCGTCTTTTCCTTGCCACGCAGTGCACTGTCAAATGCATCATCTCGAAGAAGTTCACGAATCTAAGGACGAACAAAGACACCTTCCTTTATCTTAGCTTCACTTAACCTTGGAAATTTTCCACGGAGGAACTTGAACGCTGCTTATGTTTTGTCCATGGGTTTGACAAAGTTCTTCATCAGACCCAACTTGATGTGTAAAGCTGGTAAAAAAAAAATCTTCCTTGATTCAACAAGTGGTGGATGCTGAACACTTTTCCTCCCAGGCTCCAATGACAGTCGGAGTGACCAATCTATCTTGATGTAGTGGGAATCTCTCGCACGACTATCCCATTCGCAGAAAAAAACAGCAGTACTTTGTGTATCCAGTCTGCAGACCAAACAAGAGAGCAACAACCTTCAAATCGCCACAAAGCTGCCACTGATGTTGGTCATAGTTTATGCACCTCAAAAGTTGGTTCATGCTGTCATAGGTTTCCTTAATATGGACTACATGACCAATTGGAATTGATGGCAAAACATTGCCATTATGAACAGTCTCCACTCATCTGGATCATGAACGATGTTGAGGGCTGCCATCACACCATCGATGTTGTTGCAGGCTACAAGATCACCTTCCATGAAGAAGAATGGGACAAGATCCTTTTAACGGTCATGGAACATGGAAACCCTAACATCACCTGCCAGAAGATTCCACTGCTGCAGTATGGAGCCCAACAGCTCTGCCTTACTCTTGGGTTGTTCCAAATCACTGGCAAGGTCTTTCAGGTCACCTTGTGTTATGAGGTATGGTTTAGAGGAGGAGGATGGGAGAAAATCTGGGTCATGTGACCTTCATGGTTCAGGACTAGAAGTTTCTTCCTCTTCCTCGTCTGACTCAAGTGAGAATGATTCTGGTGCATCAGGAACCGGCAATCCTTCTCTTTTTTATTCTTTGACACACCTTTCCCAACTGGAGGCGCCATGCAGAAGTAACAATTGCTGATATGATCTGTTGGCTCTCTCCGAATAATTGGCACAGCAAAAGGCATAGATTTCCTTTTCCTGTTTAACCACTGGTGAAGATTTGTTGCACAAGTGTTGCAGCATATGTGGGGCCCATATCTTGTCCTCATCTCAAATTTTGCAGCCAAAATAAAGGTGATAAGCTTTTATATTCTTGGTTCTTTCGGTAAAGTCACGTAGAAGGGAAACAATAAAATAATAAAAATATAAAACAATACAATTATCACGACGTTTCGACTGCAACACAAGCAATCATCATCAGGTGTGAAAACCACAGCAAGAAAATTTGAAAAAAGTGGCGTTTTTTTACGTTAGCACCACGGAGAGCGATTTGGCAGTTATTCAGATGGACGAGTCCATCTATATTCTTGGTTCTTTCGGTAAAGTCACGTAGAAGGGTCTTAATTGATTGTTCACGCTTACGGTGGCTTTCAGACCGCATCCATCATTTTCGTCTCCCCCCTCCTCTTTTCCGAACATAGATGGACTCGTCCATCTGAATAACTGCCAAATCGCTCTCCGTGGTGCTAACGTTAAAAAACGCCACTTTTTTTAAATTGTCTTGCTGTGGTTTGCACACCTGATGATGATTGCTTGTGTTGCAGTCGAAACATCGTGAGAATGTTATTGTTTTATATTTGTATTATTTTATTGTTTTCCTTCTACGTGACTTTACCGAAAGAACCAAGAATATGAATCCCTGCAGTCACGAAAGCTTTAAATCAGAGTTCTTCTATGTTCGGAAAAGAGGAGGGGGGAGACGAAAATAATGGATGCGGTCTGAAAGTAGAAGAAAAATAAAAATAATAATAATAATATATCACGACGTTTCGATCGCAACACAAGCGGTCGTTCTCAGGCAGAATTTTTTTTAACCATCAGTGGAACTGCTGAACAAGCGAGAGAGCTGTTACAACAAGGTTATATATGGGAAATTAACTTCACCACAAACATTGCTGAAGTTATTTGCTTTGTTCACACAAGTACGAGGCATCTCTGCTCACTTTGGCTAAACAGAAATGTGTCCCTTCGCAAAATCCATCACTGAGAAATAAGAGAGCACGACACTCTATGATTTCTAGAGCTGATATTGGGCAATTTGTTCAGCAGAGGGATGTAAGCCTCGTTATGATTGCATCGTCCATGACTTCTAGGAATAACATGATGCAATTCATAGCATGTATGATGCAATACTAGGTTCACATTGCGTCATTCATTGTTTTGCTCAAAAAGAAAGTACTGTCCAAACCCAGTCATAGATTTATTCATAGATGCAGTCAAATATGTATTTGAGTAATTTCTGGTTTAAATTGAGATCCCTTCCCTTGATAACTCACTTATCCTCCGCCATTCCCAAGTCAAGGGTCATTTATACTGACCCAGTAGCATATCTTGAAGACTAGAGCCAATCAACAATTTTAAGCATCATTTTCATTCTCAGTGACCTAGAATTAGTAAAGTTGGACTCACATTTATTTTGGAAGCATTTTGGCTGTAGGCCAGTGTATTCGGCAAGTAGCAGTCGCACGCCTCCCACTGTGAAGCTCTGCATTCACTAACACGGCACAAATAGGTGCGTGAAAGACCTCTCTACCTGCTTGTCGGTTTTGGCAACTCAATTTAATCTCATGGTATGCTACCGTCATCCCGTTTTGGCCTGGTTTATGACACCAGCACACTTAAAATATGTCCAGGGAGCGTAATGTTGCAGCACAAATCGGAGGTCGAATGTAAGAAGATTGGTATCCTGGGTGATACAATGAGCCTGTGGCATCAATAATTATTCTTTTTTTTATTTTAATCCCGTGTCTCACATTTACTGCTACATTAAATTTTCTCATTTTTCCATGCGTCACAAATGAAGCCCTGGTCGACCCGCACCTTTTACATTCCTGATGCAGACCCTACTTTTCCAAAGTTGTAAAAATATTTGTAGTAAAGTATATTTTTTTCTCTCGCTCGGGAAGAATAAAAGTAGCATTAAATTGGTCTTCATATAACTATTATACAAAGAGGAAAAAAGCAAGACTTATATAAAGACATTAATAGAATTTCAAACTCACATCAAACTAAGGTGGGTGTTTAAAGGGTATTTCATATAATTTTTTTTTATTTGGAGCTGCAAATTCCATATGCCTTCCACAACTTTGGTGCGTGCCACAAAACCTATAAACATGTTGTTGATAACAGTAGGAGACCAGATATAACTTGGCTCTTCACATGGTATATTCAAGTGAGGCTGGAGGTGGATGGGAAGGTCACAGGTCAGATTCCTGAGCCAGCAGTAGTGGATCCTGAACTCAAACATTAATAACCACCAGTGATGACACCCAGACCAAACATATCACTTGTTGGTACCACATGAGGAGGCATCACTT